GAGTATCCGTCTAGAATGTCGTGCTTAATCTGCTTCATAGCATCCTGAGTAGGTAGTGAGGATCTTAAGCCTAACATAATGTAGGTGTATATGTTGTTGTCTTCCAAGAAATCCTTAAGCCTGTTAACAATTGCATGTTCCGCAACTTTTTCTACACATGAAGTTAGCGATATTGGTCGCAAGTTCTCCAGACTCGGAGGTTTACCCGGTTTCGGTTTTAGTATGACTTGAGAAAGTTTGCATTCATCTGGAACATCACCCGAATTCCATGCATGTTGGTGACGCCATCTGGGCCAGGGGCAGACTTTCTGTTTAACTCACTCAACACCCTTCTGATTTCAGATAAAGTGATGGGTCGATCCAGCTCCGGCTGAGGGGCTTACTGGTATTCCGATCGTGAAAAACGTTGTGGCTCCTTAGTGACAGGTAGGTACTTGTCTATGAGTTGTTTAGTAACTGTTTCATTGTCTTGATTTTTAAGGGCTGTGTGTATGGCCCGGGCAAGACAGTGTCTCTAGTTGGACCTGGTGCCTTTCTCGTCTAGGCGGTGCTTAATAAGTTTCCATGCTTTGCTGTTCCTGATCTGCCCATCAATCGTTTCACAAAATTTATCCCACATCTTATTACATAGAATGGTGCAGTGCAGTTCGATTTGTTTATGGAGTTCTGCTATTTTCTTCTTAGTTTACGATTCAGTCGTTGAGGCCGTCATTTTTAGTAATGGCATGCTTTGCTTCAATTAAGTGGGCTAGTTTAGAATCCATGGCCTCGACGTTAGCGTCAGTGAGAAGCTTTCTGTACGCCGATTTGATATTATTCCTGATGGGTTCGCACCACTCTTTGAGGCTTGGTTTGGCAGCATTTGACCCGCTCGGCGTTCTACTTCTGCGAAAGACATCCCAATCAACAACCTCAAATTCTCGAGTGTGGCCTTTCTCAACCTCCAGCTTAACCTTGAGAACATAGTGATCACTGCCGAAGTTATGACCGGTATTTGTCCGTAAGGGATGCTCTACGTTCTTGACAAATGTTAGATCGGGTATGGTGTCTCCACAGACAGAATTGCCGCTTCTTGTGGGATACCCTTTATCCGTAATGAATACAGGTTTTGCTCGTCAGCACGATGCCATAAATTCCTGCCTTTTTGGTTTGTCGCAGTATATCCCCAGGTTTCATAAGCAGCGTTGAAGTCCCCTAATTTGATTAGAGGCCTAACTTCCGCGAGTTTCGTAGCTTTCTCGAAAATTATCTTGAAATGTTGCTTGTAGTGCTTCGGGTTACTGTAAATGTTGAGGACAAATAAGCTGTTGCATCTTTCATTTTTGTATGAGACCGGCACTTATACCTCCATCAGGAGATACTCTAAGTTCTTGTCGCGAATAACTAGATCGTGAGAGATATGTGTCAGCTGCCTATTTACTAACTCATGTAAGCCTCTACCATAGTTTTCGCACTCTATAGCTCTATGCTCAGTAAGCTTGACGTATCCGTACCCAGTTTCTTGGAGTGCTATTATATCCGGCTTAGATTGTAGTGATCTGAGATATTGCTGGTCTGTGGCAAGTTTGTTGTTGTACCCCCCGCAATTTCATTGCCACACTCGAAATTCTCTTTTAGTGTGGGCCATATTGGATGTTCATATCTCCTGCCTGGGGAATCATGCGCGCTGTGTGGAATGATGGTCCACACTGCCCTCTTTCGTTGCCGAACATACTCATCATTTCAAGAGTTTTCACTTTTTCGCTAAATGCCTTAAGCCCTTCCCTAGGATCATTTATTGTACTCTGCATTTTTCCTACACTCATCGTGAGCTGTGAGATGCTGTGCATGATCATTTTCATTTTATCTGCAAATGAGGCTAGTGTTTGTTCCATTTCCTCAATGTGCGTTTCAGTATTGTTCAGCTTACTTATGACGGCTCTGCACTTGGCCGACATGGCCACGTCACCCACAGGCGCGGGAACTGGCGTTACCTTTGGCGTATTTTCGTTTTTGGCCTGCTTGGTTTCACTTAAGTTTTTTAATTAATGCTAATTCTGTAAGAAATTTTTGTTCATTTCCTTTAGCTCTTCATTTTTTTTCTTGAGACTCTCTATTTCCTTACTTTGCTCTGGGGGTGGGCCGCAAAGCATGACACCGGTTCGGTTCGTCCTTCATTAGCCCAGACAAGTCATCTGTTGTCGGAAGATTGTCCTCTGGTAGTTTGCGTCTCGTCCGTCATTGCCAATCCTAGACTTTGTCGGCCCACGTCGAACCAATGCCTCCTTCGGATTCTGGGTTGATAAATAGACTCCGATTCCCAGACCTCAACACAAATTCCGACCTGGATGCACTACTTCTTCTGGATCGGGAGTGATTTCGAGACTGAGACCTGCCGCGAGATGCTGCTGTTGGCTTCGAGTCGTCCATTGGAGCTGATGCCGTGAAGTGCAGCTTGGATGAGTGCAGCTCGGACGAGTGCAGGTTCAACGGATTGTCGACTTGTTCCTTTCCAGCGATGGCTGCCATAGCACTTTCACTTCTTCTTCTGACAACGTATGAAATTGTGTAACGCTGTCTGCACATCTTGTCTACCGTGGGGTGTGGACCACCGCAAAGTTCACATCTGGGTGGACACCTGCGTTCCTTAATCACGTTTACATCGCCACATCTTCTACACACGGTCTCTTCCGGGGTAAGACACACGTCAGCTCTGTGACCCAGCCGGCCACAAGCATAACATATATCGATCTTTTTCATGTAGAGTGAACACTTCTTCAGGATCGAACCATACCTGACGAAATTTGGAACCTTGTAACCGTCGAAGGCGAAGATCACCGTGCTGGTATTCTTCATTCTTTTAACCGCAAGCGGCAAGGGGTCTTTTGGGTTGACAATATTTCTCTCATGCTCCAATGGCCCGTTGGTGATGTCGATGTTTCTTATCACACCTTTGCACTTAATGTCTGGTGCAGCCTCATAGGTGTTGATCTCACAATTGCAACCACCCAGGTCTATCGATCTTATTCTCACGCACCTCTCAGCATTTTCCCGCTCCCGTGTACTCGCCACCATTATGTTCTGGCTGAGGTTCGGGCACATGATGTCTGACGCCGTCTGAGCTAAGCCCAACCCTGCAGCTTCTATGATGGCTTTGCCTACCTTGGTGGAGCCAATCTTGCTAATATTGATGCCGCCACGTTGTCGTAAGATAATCTTGAAGCGATCCTTAGGCATGTAGGGCATGCGGGACGCCCTCCTAACTCTATTTTTTTCTGATTGCCTTTCTCGAATGTTCTAGACGCCGCGTCTGTGGTAGGCCCAGCTCCAGCTGACTCCCCGCCTGCAGCGGATTTGGTCGACATTCGCTTGGAAACTGCTGCTTGCCACCCGTACTCTTCGGTACACTCATCGCGAGATCTGTTCTCTCCGTCCATCATTACTTGTATGTCGAACGCGCGGTCACTCGCCCCCGACGAACGTCACTTGGCGCAAGTCCGTTGGCGTTGACCCGGCTCGGCGTAAGCCTACCTCAAGCACGGCGTCGTCGCACAAAAAGTCTCGTAAAATGACGAAAAGTTCACCCACCACAGTAAATTCATGTAGCCTTGTTCTCCTTGACGTTATGCGTTGATCGATGTATGTCATTTAATGACACACATTGATTAACTGGCGGAAACAGATACTGAGAGTGGGTACCGATATTTTCCTTCCTCACTGTTCGGCGCTTGCGGCATCTCCCCCCCCCCCCCGTGACGTGATACCAAATTCAGCACATGTGAAGCTTGCGTAACGGTCGCGAACGCGTCATGAGCGTAGCATGTTGCCATGCTGTTAAATTACACGAATCTCATGATTATCACGTTTGCGCCAGTCACATACATTCGTCATTCCTTCTTGTTTCATATTACAAAACTTAGTAGATGCGAAGCTAGGAAAACGGCCGCGAGCACACCATGAGTGTGGCGTGTAGTCGTGAATAGTCATATGATTGAATCATGACATGCATGACATAATTTTCACGTTAGGGTCTGTCACTTGTGTTCGTTATGCAGTGATGTCATATCATGCCCGTTTTGCAACTTGTTATGTGAATGAAACCACCGTAAGTGCAGTGAGGCAATGAAATGTAAAATATGACATTCATAACAGAGATGCAATAATTTATTGTTATGAGTAGTCACGTATGCTTGTCATGCAGTCATAATTTGACATACCAAGTTTGGTATCGATCTCATTATGGAAACGACCAGGAGAGCTAAAAGTCGTAAGCTGCTACATAAATAGATGAATAGATAGATATTGTCACAGCAATCAAGATAGATATATACACTCAACGTCGCCAAAGTTCACTAAGAAACGCTTCGCATTTATTATACGACAAATTTCGTACACGCAGACATATTGCAACGGGTATAAACTGAAGGAGGAGAAAAAAAGAAAGGCGTGAACTGGTGCAAACACCGACGCTATTATTATCCGACCACTAACCTTGCCTTGCTAATAAACACCCTTCAACTTTAATCGTAACAATTTTCTGGTAGAGGTGCCGGTGTAATCACCCAAGACGATGAAGCCACGGCCGCTAGGTCCTCGCCGAAGCCGACGCCTCGGGCGACTGCCTCCAACACTACTGGAACTCTCGATGTTGGACAACGGCGGCCTACAGTCATCTTCAAATCTTCCGGCACGGACACCCGGTGCCTGGATGCGTCAGTTGGAGTAGCGCCCTTTCTCAGGGAAACCCGGCAAAAATGTGGAAGGATGGCTCACACACTACAAACGTGTGAGCAAGTACAACGGCTGGGATGCTATGGCTCAGCAAGGGTGTGTTGCTCTACCACCACCTAAATGAGTTCAGGCCTCTTCACTCCGGCGCGCCTTCGTGTGACGTCATTCAACTTTGCCCGAGCCTCTCACGCCAACACCACCTAGCTCACGCCGTACCAGCAGCGTTTCGGCGTGTCCGGGCATGTTGACAGGCAAGGAGGAGGGCCACCTCTCTCGAGAGAGCGAGCACCGTGGTAGCCCGTAGCTTTGCGGCAGAGCCGTAAGTTGTCCGAGTCTCCGACAGGTGGCGGCAGCCGTGACAATTATTTCACTCTGTCGTTGAACGAGACCACGCGGCCACGCCGTGCGCGCTGTTCCGTGTTGCAGTTACCGCTTCCGCCGAATTTATTTTGTTGACGAATGTATCCTGAGACATGGGGCGGTGTTGTGTACCCAACTGTCGAGGGAACTATGACAATGGTCCGAAAGTCCGCTTGTTTTCTTTTCCGAGAGACGCTAAGCGAAGAGCGGAATGGCAGCGGGCTGTGCGACGGAGCGACGTCGACGTGAGGCTGTTGAAGGACCCCAAGGTAAGCTGCATCGAGCGTACCCCTTCAGAATTAACGAGATTTCTCGTAATTATCCCAGGAGATTCTAATTGGTGTTTTTTTTTGTTCCGGTCACGCGCAGGTTTGCGAGCGTCACTTCAAGTCGGAACACCTGCGCACAACGTCAACGTATACGGACTGCGATGGACGAACCATTGAAGCTCCTATGAAGTTGACACGGCTGACTCCAGACGCCTTCCCAGCCATTTTTCCAGACTGCCCTTCGTATATCTCGGATTCGCGCACGTCGCGAGAAGAGCCTGAACTGAAAAGGAAGCGGACTGAAAATGAGCTACTCCAGAAAGCCATACACGAGTCCCAAGCAGCGTTTGAAAAAGAAGAAAAACAGTACAAAGTTTGTAATCTGGGTGAACTGATTTCTCGGGTTAACGAGCGTCCAAATAAGAAGTTTTGGTGTACAACAGCCTGCGAGACGTGCCTCATCGTCGCCCACATCGAACCGGCATTGCAAGCTCCGGAGATGCTTGTATCTGTGGTGGTTACAGAGGATCTGTCCGTTTCCGTGTATTTTAAGTGCGCTCCGTTGGTGTCGGATGATGTGTGCATTCCTGGCGAAGTCCGTGATGTCCGTGTGCTAGACAACCTTCTAGAAAGCGTGGAGCGATATTGTGAAAAGAAGGCCCGTCAACAGGAGGACAAGGTGGGAGGAGTGCTTAGGCTTGTTTTATCCTTGCTGGATGACATTTGTGATGATGAGCTGCATGATGATGAGAGGGCTGACGCACTAATCTTCCTGAAGGAGCAGTGCAAGCTGCTGACAAAGAAGAGTAATGGCGTGCGGTATTCTGCAGAGCTTTTAGTTTTTAGCAGTATATTGCACACAATTTCTCCACATGCTTACAAGTTTTTTCGCCACAGCAACAAGCTTGTCTTGCCGCATGACACTACCATCAAGCGAGTTTGTGCTGCACATGATGTGAGCCCATCGAAAGAGCAGTGCGAAGAAGGTTTTCTGAGGTACATTAAGCGCAGAGCAACCATTCTGAAGCCTCATGAAAAAAATGTGACTGTCATGCTTGATGAAATACACCTGCAACAGTTTTTTGAATATAAAGGTGGCTGCCTAACAGGGTTTGCTGCGCATTGTGCGGAACCAGCAAAGACAGCGCACGTGTTCATGGTACAGTCTTTGCTTTCATCTTATAAAGATGTTGCTCATATCCTTCCGGTAACTCGTATCACAGCAACGGAGCTGCATGATGTTCTAAAGACACTAATCCTGAGGCTTGAAAGTGCTGGTCTGCATGTTGTTGCGGTCGTAACAGACAACAATGCCATAAACAGGAAAATGATGTCTCTGTTTAGCGAGCAAAATGAGCCAGGGATTGTTTTTCCTCATCCTGCCAACCCGCAGCAGCCATTGTTTCATGTTGTGGACACTGTTCACTTGCTCAAGTGTATACGCAACAATTGGCTCAATCAGAAGGATGATGACAAGTCGTTTTTGTATCCTCCTTTTGAAAGCTGTGGAAGTGGTGAGGACCAAAAAGCTTCGTTTACTTTTTTGAGGAAGCTGTACCAGAGTGAACAAAGCAAGCTTGCAAAGGTTGCCTATGGTCTGAGCTATAAAGCACTTTATCCAAGCCACCTAGAGCGTCAAATTGTGAAATTGGTGTTGAAAGTTTTTAACAGCTTTGTGTCATCAGCTTTGTCACTTGAAGCGCAGAAATTGCATTTGGCTGCACTGCAGGAAACGGCCACCTTTATTGATTTGATTGTCAGGTGGTGGAGCATTGTAAATGTTAAGGCTCCAGAAAAGGGGCACAGACTACGTGATGTTTATCAGCAGCCTGTGAAGGATATGTCTTGTTTGCAAGTTCAGTACCTTGATCAGTTCATTACCTGGCTTGACAGGTGGAGCCGGAGGGGAACCACGGCTGGAGGTTTGACAAAGGAGACCCACTTTGCTCTCCGGCTAAGCACGTATTCATTGATTGAGCTGTCACGGTATTGCTTTGATGAGCTGGGCTTTAGGTACGTCCTTTTGGGGAAGTTTCAAACAGATTGCCTTGAGGCCAGGTTCGGGAAGTACCGCCAAATGTGTGGATCTCACTACAATGTGTCAATCATAGAAGTATTCGAAGCGGAGACAAAGATTCGCTTGCAGGAAACTTTAAAGCTGGAAGACATGCCGCTGTCATTGGCACCTAAGGAACAGGAGCTTGATGCCGAGATGCTAATAGCAAAGTATGCCATCAAACTCACCCAAAGTGACCTGAAGGCATCACAAACTGACGTGCCTGCGTTGGCATACATTGCAGGCTATTGTGCGCATGCTGCAATTAAACGTCAGCCATGTGAGGATTGTCAGTCACAGCTCATGATCACTGACCGACAACTGCAGCAAAGTGAGCACGTACTCATTGACAGCATGAGCAGAGGCGGCTTGAAGTTTCCGCAGCCTTTTGTTATTAATGTTGTTCTTGGCACTAAGATAGTACTAGAGCACCTTGTCAGTAAGGAACAGGAGCAGCGGTTTCATGCAGAAGCCAACCAAAGGATGGTCCTCTTGAGCATCATGCAGTTCCTACTAAGCGACGGCGAGGAGTTGGACATGTGTGCAAGTGGCCACCATCCAGATACCGTACTCAAGAACATTCTAAAACCAGCTGTCAACACGCTTCTAAAAAACTATGTCGCTTGCAGGAATGACAGTGTCATGAAAGAAAAAGCCTGTACAAAGCAAAGAAAGTTGCTAACGCTACAGTAAACTTTGCTAGTGGCCCCTTCGCTAAAATATGAAGCAAGCTTTACTAATGGCTAGTTTTTTTTAAGCTGGCCGGTTCGTATTTTCTTTTTGTCCCACAATGTGAATATGGCTTTGAATATGACTGTTCCAAATACTAAATGTTTGTTCCTTGTGATACACTTTATACATTGTAATGAATACTCCAGTAGCTAGTTTCTTTCGTTCTAAGAGCAGTTGTGTTTTTCTGTTTGCCCCATAATGTGATTATGGCTGTGAATATGACTGTACCAGATGCTAAAAGTTTTTCACTGTGATAAATTTTGAAACATTATAACGAATAATCTAGCGCCTTGTTTTTTTTTTTGCTTAATCTTGTCAGTTTCGGTTTTTGTGTTGCACAATGTAGTCATAGATGTCAATATGACTGCTAAAAGCTGGAAGTTCGTATGTTCCTTGTGATACATGGTACTTACATCGTAATAAATATTTTGCCAGGTGCCCGGGACTTGTGTACGTTTCTCTTAAGTGCAATCTGAAGCAGTTACGTCCGCCAAGATGGAGCGGAACAGCACTATTTCATCTTGATGTGAAATAACGTTCGTTCAGAAATTTTATATTTTATGCCTATATCGCGGCAATGCAGAAATTAATGTTTTACTCATCTGTAGTGGCCGCAGCGCAGGAAGCGTCCGCGCCGCAGCGGCTCGCGCGCGCGCGCGTCGACGGGCCAGGTGCGTGACGTCACGGCGGCAGTGAAGAGGCCTGCCTGAACTTATCTAGGTGGTGTTGGTTGCTCTCGCCCTGACAGACACTGCTCTTTTGCGGTTCGAGAACCACGAAGTGTCGCTAACAACCTGGGATCACTTCGCTATTCAACTCACAGGGTGCTTCGGTGATTCTACTGCGAAAAGGAAGCGGGCCGAGCAGACATTAATTACTTCAGCGTGCTCAAGTGCCAGGCAAGAATTGTACCACGTACATTGAGACGATCCTGAAGTTGTGTAAGACGGCGAATCCTCGTATGTACGAAGGGGATAAAGTCGGGTATTTTCTGAAAGGTATTGCCGAAGACGTGTACACCTACTTGATTGGTAAGGAGAGTCTCAATTCGGTAGCTGACGTTATCGATCATTGCCGCACATTTGAGACCTTGAAGCTACACTGTATAACGGCAAATTTCGGCAGGTTGGCGAACGTTGCGACGGTTGAAGGCATTGAAGACAGCTACAGTATCCATTGGGACCTTGCGACCACTGTGAGGCAAATTTTCCGTGAGAAACTTGAGCGACACATTAAATCAGTGAACGCCGTGAATTCCAAAAAGTTCGGTTGCGTTTTTATTCATCCTCACGAAGCTGCACCGGTGGTTTTAGCGCGGTCGGCCATGCGGAGCGTTGTAGACAGTCGAACAGATCCCCTACAATAGCAGCATCATACGTTTCCTGAAGACGTGACGAGTGGTCAACGCGCTTACCAGGGTATGACCAAGAATCGGCACTTGGAAGATCGTATCTACTACTCGCAGCGTTCAAGGGTGGCTCATCCCGAAGATTACAACGTCGGTCACCCTCCACCTGTTCGATGCAACTGCGGTGCAATAGGACACATCTCTAGTTTTTGGCGCCGTCGCCGCCAGACGAGGTAAGGCCCACCACTAACTTGGCCTAACTTTGAAGGCGTCAACGATGGTCATTGATCGGCAAAACATTGTGCAACAAACGCTACAGGCTGATCATCCAGGAATTTCTTCCGCCTTTCCAACAGAAGGAGTGGCTCGCCAGCGTCAGACAGCAGCCAGGCACTCACGCCGTTCACCGTCCACCCGGCGACGTTCTACACACCCGCCTCTATCGAAAAACTAGCCGGTGCGGCCGATGGAGGTAAAGTTGCCGGCCGGTCTACATCTCTGGAAACTGCTCCTTTTCCTAATATGATGTCTCAAAACAATGTGTACGTGTTAATTGATAGTGTGCCTGCAACCGCGCTAGAGGATACTGGTGCTACGGTTTCCGTCATGAGTGCCACATTCAAGGAAAGGCTTGGTCGGAAGGTTATGTACGCGTGTAATGGTGGTGTGACGTTTCTTAGTGTCAGCAGAGTGCCTCGTTCCTTTAGGTATTTGTGTTGCAAGTGTTTTCTTTGGAGCAGAATATCTCCTTACGCAATTTTTGATATTACCACGGTGCACTCATGAAGTGATTCTCGGGATCGACTGTCTTCGGTAGTGTGTTGCTTCCGTTACTTGTGGCACAGGCGAAATTGCGGTGAATAACGCACTTATTTCTGCGCTTTCTGACACATCTTTACCGGGGAAAAACTGTTTCGTTGTGTCAAATGATTCTGTTTTAGCGCTGTCACGTGTTTTTGTTATTCTTGCCGTTGCTGACTTTTGATCGTTTGACGCAAAACTTCAACAACTTGCGAAGGGATGCGTAAAGAAAATGTACTTGTGCCTCGTTCTCTATTGACAGTCGCGAATAGCGCCTCAATATTATGAACTTTCAATTGTTCTTTGGTGCCTGCTGTTCTTCCGCGTGATATGAAGCTTGCCGAGTTTGACGAAATCACATATGGCCCTATCACCGTTTTAAGCGAAGAGCAGCAGTCCGAAACAAGCGACCCCCAGAAAAGAAGTTCTGAAGAACAGATCTTAAGAATGATCAGCAAGTCGCTACCCTCACATAAACGCTGCGCTCTTGCAAGAGTCTTTATGACACATTTTTTGGTGTTTGATTTCACGCGAGGTGACACGAAGACTTCACTACCGCGTTCTCGTGCACATCGCAGAATTGACACCGGATCTGCACACCCCGTTCGTATGAAACCTTTCCGCGTGTTGTCGACAGAAAGGGCAGTGATAGCTGACCAGGTCACCGATACGTTACGGAAAGGTGTTGTTCAAGAGTTATCTAGTCCATAGGCAGCGCCTGTGATCTTAGTAAGGAAGAAGAATCGATCAAGGTGGTTCTGCGTTCACTATAGAAAACTAAATACGGCCACCAAAAAAAACTTCAAATCCGCTTTCTAGAATTGATTACGTCATTGATTGCCTGCATTATGCGGCCTACTTTTCGTCACTGGATTGTCGATCAGGGTATTCGCAAGTACCCTTGCACCTGAACGACAAAGAGAAAACGGCCTTTGTGACGCCTGATGGCATTCATGATTTTAATGTTATGTCGATTGGTCTTTGTAATGCACCGGCGATGTTCGAATGATTTATGGACACAATACTTCGGCGACTTAAGTGGGAAATTTGTTTGTGCTACCTAGATGATGTGATGATCTTCGGCAACACACTGAAAGAGCATAACAGACGTCTCAGTCTTGTTTTGAATTGTATACAAAAGGCTGCCTTAATCCTAAACTCTAAGAAATGTTGTTTTGGTGAAACAGAGAAATCAGTCTTGGGCATCTAGTTGACAAAAATAAAGTAAGGCCATACACACGAAAATTCGAGGCCATCAGCTCTTTCGAACCACCAAAATCGGTGCGGGAACTGAGAAGCTTCTTGGGCCTATGCTCATATTTTCATCGTTTCGTTCCAAGGTTCGCTGACATGGTGCATCCCCTAACATGTCTTCTTCAAAGGACCTCCCTTTCAACTGGACTTCAGCTAGCGACGATGCGTTCCGCCACTAAAGTTTCGACTAACGTCGGGGCCCATACTGCGTCATTTCGTTGTGTTCTTGCCTATGGAAGTGCATGCTGATGCTAGTGGCATCTACATCGGTGCTGTACTTGTGCAACGTCATCAAGAAGCTGAGAAAGTAGTGGCTTATGCCAGTCCCTCTTTCAACAAAGCTGAACGCAACTATACCGTAACCTAACAAGAATGCTTGGCAGCTGTTTTTGCTGCAAACAAATTTCGACCATATATCTGTGGACGTCCGTTCAC